CCAAGGTCGTACGTCACCAGTTACATGTGGACCAAAGTTTTAAGTTGGTCAAACAAAACCATGCTAATCAACTCCACACCACATTAATGTCGTGAATGAAGAGGTAGAGCGGCTCGTGGAGGTTGTAATAAGGGAAGTGCAATTCCCAGAGTGGTTGTCCAATCCTGTATACACGGGAAAGGAAAATGGGAAGTGGTGAGTTTCCATCAATTTCATCAATCTGAACAAAGCATACCCTAAAGAAGACTACCCACTCCCAAAGATGAATCAACTAATGGATGCAACTACGAGACATGAGCGTATGATGTTCATGGATGCCTGTGTGGGGTACCATCAGAGCCCCTTGCAACCCTCATATTAGGAAAAGACAACTTTCATAACCCCCCAAGGGGGGTCTACTATTACAAAGTTATATCGTTCTGTCTAAAGAACGCGGGGCCACTTACCAACGACTAATGAATAAGATGTTTAAATGAAAAATAAGGGCGACCATGGAAGTGTATATTGATGACATGATCTTGAAAAGTAAGCATTGGGAGGATCACCTGAAGGAATTGGAGGCAGCCTTTCAGACGCTTTGAGAATATGGGTTGAAACTAAACACAACTAAGTGCTCATTCAGGATCAACTCGGACAAATTCCTGGGATATTTGGTTACACAATACGACATCAAAGCGAGCCCCGAGAAAATACAGGCTACCATGGATGTCCAAAGGCCGAGAACCATCAAGGACATGACTGATAGGGATGTTAGTCGCCCTAAACCATTTCATATCCTGCTCCTCAGACAAATGCAAGCCCTTCTTTGGTGCCCTCAAGAAGGCGCGAAGAGAAATATGGGACGACGAGTGTGATGAGGCCCTACAAGGGATAAAGAGTATCTCAGGACATCTCCCACCCTCTCAATCCCAGATGGGGAGATGTTATTCCTCCACCTCTTAGTTTCAGAGTTCACAGTTAGTGGGGTTTTGGTCTGAGAATCTGAGTCCAATTCGAAGCCCATATACTACTTCAATAAGGCATCGTTGGACCCCGAGATGAGGTATCTCCCATTGGAAGAAATAGCATTAGCCTTTATCACTACAGCAAGGAAGTTAAGGCATTCCTTCCAAGCTCACCCACTAGTGGTTTTAACCAGCCTACCGCTGAAGTCCATTCTTAGGAAGGTCAATCTATTTGGGAGAATAGCCAAATATGTTAAATTAGAGAGTACGACATCCATTTCAAGCCTCGAATGACAATCAAGAGTCAGGTTTTGGCAGATTTCATCGATGAATTAACTCTTTATGAGGCTCCTCCTGAAGAACCTTCCCCTAACGACACGTCACCCCTAACTCTTGAAAGTTGTACGTTGAAGGGTCCTCAAATCAAAGGGGACCAGGGGTCGGCATGTTCTTAATCTCCCCTTGCGGGGACGTAATAGAGCAAGCAATATGCCTTAACTTTGGAGCCTCAAACAATGAGGCAGAATATGAGGCCTTTTCTAGAGGCTCAAGTTAGCCTATGTGACAGGAACAAACTATCTCTTGGTATTTTGTGACTCACAATTGGTGGTAAATCAGATGAACGATGAATTCAAAGCATGAGATCCAGAGATGAAGGCATATCATGAGAAAGTTGTCTTTGCCATTCAAGGATGCTAGAAAGTTGAAGTGATGCAGATCCCCTGAGACAAAAACTACCATGCCGACACTCTTGCATGCCTTGCCTTGGCTCTCAAAACTGAGGTTATAAGGAGGATAACTATAGAGTATCTCCCAACCCCAAGCATATTGAGTGAGGCTAAGAGCCTTTCAATGGGCATTGAAGAAATTTCTCCAAGTTGGATGGATCCTATCCTCTGATATCTAACGACTGAGGAACTTCCAAATTGCAAATAGGAGGCTCGCAGGTTAGGCTCAAGGCACCAAGATTTTGGGTATCTCCAAATCAGAAACTCTATCGAAGGTCATTTTTGGACCTTACTTGTTTTATGTGACTGATGAGTGCGCGAAAGTGCATTCTAAATACCCTATTATTAGGTTAAAATGCTAAAATGTGAATATAAATAATTAGATATAATTTATATTATTTAATTTAATATCTATTCACACTAAGATATATTTGAGCATGATTTTATAATATTTTAAATCTTAAATATTGCATTATAGGTTGGTGAGAGATAATTTTTAAACACTTAACTTTTTTTGGACTTTATTATTCGGGTTTGATATTTTTTTTATTTTAATGGCAATCCATGCAGTAAAAAGGTTGAAAACTGATAAAACTTTCATGTGGGTCCAGCACTCGTAATTTTTATTGGGTTTTATCTTTCTCAAATTACACAAGATTTGGGCTTTAGGGGTTGAACTAAAAAGGTTGGAATTAAGAGGGGATGAGAAGGGCTTTTCTCAAAAAAAAGGGCTTGACTTTTAAAACCTCTTGCTTTTTTTCTTTGGCATGGGTGGCTGGAAGACAAAGCAGAAGGGAGGCAGTTGTTCTTGGTTGGGAGCAGACGCAGATCAAGGAGGAGAGAAACTGCTGATGGCCGCTGGTTTGTTCTATTTTTTTTGGAAGATTTTTGTTAACAGAATGAATGAAATTATCGCTTTTGCAAACTATTGAAAAGAAAAACTATCTACCAATTCTTCTACCGTCTCCCCGGCAACGGCGCCAAAATTTGATTACGCCCAAAAAATAACGCGGTAGTTGTAGCACAACTTTGAGGTGTCGATTTCACAGATAGACAAACTAAAAGAATAATAGAAAGAACAAATGAACTAAAGAAAAATATTAAATGATTACTAGAGAACAAAAATTAATTTTAAATGTAACTTAAAGTGAAGCAAAGTGACTAACGGAAAAAAGTATTCAAATTTGGCAAACAGTAAAGCGTCGGAAATCCCTTGTACAAATTCGGTATTTTAATTTTTCTTAATTCATTGAATAAATCAATTGGGAATTCAATTCCCAATCTGAAGTTATAGATTTATAAACCAAGACTAAACCAAATGTAACCATTTCAAAAATCATTTTTTGGGAGATTTTTGTTGTCCATTATATTTATGGGTAACTAAATTCTCAGGTAGGGTGAGGGATGAACTTGCACAGTAAATGACATTTTATTTATTTTTAATTTATGAATTTGATTTCTAATTAGTAAAACTCTTTTGTTTTATCATTCGCAATTTATTGTTGTTGTTTTCTTCTCCGAATAGTCATATAATTTATTCTATTTATGGATTTAGTCAAGCTTTTTATATTGAATGGATTAGCTCTTTGGTTATGTTTGGATCAATTGTTTATCTATATTGATTTAATTCTTTGCTACGATATTTCTTCTTGAGTATATTGTTGTCGTTGGACTTTCTCAATAGTGATAATAATTTACGTATTTTCAAAGTGGTGAATGATTTTTCAAATTGTTACATTTGGTTTAGTCTTGGTTTATAAATCTATACCTTCCGATTGGAAATTTTGGGAATTGAATTCCCAATTGAGTTATTCAATGAATTAAGAATAATTAAAATATCGGATTTGTGCAAGGGATTTCCTACGCTTTACTGTTTGTCAAATTTGAATATTTTATTCCGTTAGTCACTTTGCTTCACTTTAAGTTACATTTAAAATTAATTTTTGTTCTCTAGTAATCATTTAATATTTTTCTTTAGTTCCTTTGTTCCTTCTACTATTCCTTTAATTTGTCTCTTAGTGGAATTGATACCCCAAAGTTGTGCTACAACTACCGCGTTATTCTTTGGGAGTAATCAGTGTCCGAAGACAAAGTTCAACCTTTATTTAGTACATGAAATTTACAAAGGCATATGTGGAGGAAACATAGGTGATAGGTCAATGACCCATCGGGCTATGTCACAAGGATATTGGTGGCCATATATGCAAAATGATGCATGGGAGTATGTTCAGAAATGCGAAAAGTGCCAAAGAAACGCACCTATCAACAGGTAACCAGTCTAGGACCTAAGCCCATTATCAAGTCCTTGTCCATTCGCCCAGTGGGGTCTAGATATAGTCGGTCCCTTGCCCAAAGCGCCGACCAACAAGAGGTTCCTCCTCTTAGGCATGGATTACTTCACAAAATGGTTTAAAGTCAAATCGTTGCCCCACTTTCGAGAAATCAACACTAAGAAGTTCGTATGGAGAAATATAGTGACGTAGTTTGGCAGGTCTCGAGCTATAATCTCCAACAACGGGACCCAGTTTAATAGTGGACCCTTCAAAGCGTTCTGTGAAAAGTTATGTCTAAGAAATTACTACTCTACGCTTGCCTACTGACAATGCAATGGGTAAGCCGAGGCTTCTAACAAGACGATAGTAGCAGGACTCAAGAAGAGGCTGGAGAAGGCAAAGGGAAAGTGGACCAAGGAACTACTTAACATCCTATGGGCATATCAAACAACCCTTAATCTTCCACAAAAGAGACCCTTTACTTTTTGGCCTACGGGATGGAAGTAGTAATATCACTCGAAGTTGGACTATAGTCCATAAGGACACAGACCTTCAACACAGGAATGAACAATCAGCAAATAAGCAGAGATCTCGATCTAGTTGAAGAAATGAAGGAAATGGTGCCTATTGACTCGCAAGTTATTAGGGGGAGATTGCCCAAAATCACAACAAAAGGGTCCGCCCTCGAGACTTCTAGGTGGGTAACCTTGTACTTAGGAAGGTCGTTGGAAATACTTGAGAGCCAACCGACGAGAAGCTTGGACCCAATTAGGAAGCGGTCGAGGGATCCAGATCTTACACATCGAAAGACTTAGATCGCGTTATTGTATCTAGACCTTAGAATATAACTAATCCCAAAAAGTATTACTTTTGAAATACAAGTCTTCCTAATGATTATGAAGCAAGTACCAAATGGTGAATGGATTTACAAAGGCCATCCCCACAGAGGAGGTGGACCCCAATAATAAAGAATAAGTGTAAAAAGGAAAAGATGTTAGAAAAGCGCAATTCATTAAATTGGTTTTGTGTCCCTTAGGCAAAACAAAGGAAGGGGACTAAAGACCCCGAAAAAGAAAAGAAAAAAAAGGAAGAAAAAAGCAAAGTAAAGTTTTGCTATGACAGGGACAAGAGAAGGCAGTCAGAACACTATCATCCTCGAGGAGCGCATCCATGTCAATCAAAAGGCTATCAATTGTGGGGGCAAGAGGAGCTGCAAGTGCGGATGGAGCCGAAGGAATAAGAGGAACCTTGGGATGGGGGATATTGACCTGGGGAAGAGCAGGAGGGGTTTCTAAAGACTCCTCTACCTCTACCACCATGAGGGAAGGTGTGTACCTATGTTGTTGAGGAGAATCAAGTGCAACCCCCGCAAAAGCAAGAGCGGCGTCCCATTCTCCTTTGAAAGTCTTCAACCTTGAAAGCGACCATCACGCCATTTTTACGCTCTCGAATGATTTCTTCTTTGGTCTTCAATCTCGCCTCAGCCTCGGCTTGTAACGCCCCAAAAGCCACCTTTGACGGCAATACAATCTAACAACCATTCACATCATGAGAAGAACTAAATAAATTCATCATTAAAGAACATTTCATTCATCAAATATAACATTTACAATATCATCCCAAAAGAAAAGGTCAACCATGGCCATTACATCCCAAAAGAATCTACTATTTTTTCGCAGCGGAATAAATAAAAAGACATCTATGAATGTCCCAAAATATATCCCCTAATCTACAACATGGAGGAATCAACTCTAGACGTCCACCTCCGAATCCACGAGCCCATCTGGTGGAGCTTCCTAATGTGTCGGCTCCTCAACTCTGAGCTCTCCGTCTAGACCACAATCTGAAAAATATATAGTTTGTAAGGGGTGAGCACTAAGCTCTGTAGCAACATTCTCCCAATTTGTGAACAAGGTTTAGAGAACGGGACATTTTAACGGATCTCAAGTTTATGCAATAACAATAATTTAAATGAACAGTAAAAATGAATTTTCTAACAATAAAACATTTCTAACCATCAGCCATTTCCCACAAGTTCTTGTAGAGTCTCATACCTCCACAAGCTTTTGTAGGAAACCAATTCCACACAATAACAATAATCATTCAATAATGTCATCCATTATACTCATGTATGTTGGTTGCTTCCCATGAATCTACACCCCCATTCTATCTCATTCACCCACCACAGTCACACAAACCACTTTAGAAATGGCGTATACCATCTCCCACGACATTGAAGAATCCTTCCCAGGAAAGGTATACCATCCCTTCTCCTTGAACTTACGTGAACAATAATGGTTGCTCTCACAAACAACAAACCACTACAAATGTTAGGAAACCATCTCACCCCCACTGGGATAGACTAACTTCTAACACTCTATGGCAGAGCTCGAATGTAATTCAAGTCCATCACAACAACCATACAAGAGATGCAATAACAAACATTTTCTTTAAAGTACAAGGAAATCCAAAATTCTCAATTCTCACAATTTGTAATACAAGAGAACAATTTAAGAAAATAAGCAAGAGATCATCACAACATCATTTTGTTACTCAACACAAAGTACTACGATTTCAAAGTCAAGAACAAAGGAGGAACCAAGAGAAAAATCAATTTATTTTAAAAATTAGGGTTTTATGCCAAGAAAAGAAATCTCATGGTTATATAATCATAGCTTTGTTTAAAAACATGGTAATGATTGCACAAATCTCAAGGAATCATGATTTCATAGCATAGATATAAGATTTAAAGTCAAAAGAATACATATAGATAAGCCCTAGCCTTAATGTAAGAGAATAGAAAGAAACCGCTACCTTGGTGTTCTTGAAAAAGCTAGGGTTTTGGTCTTCTTGAAGTGTAAATCCACTTTGATCTTGTGTTTTTCTCTTCCTTTCTTCCTCTCTAAGGTTTTCTAGGGTTAGAGATGTTGAAATGGGGCTAAAAGAGTTGTCCTTAAGTATTTATAGTGGAAAGAAGCAGACCCAGATCATGACTTAAAATTTTTGGAATCTATCGGGCGTACCGGTACACATACTGTTACGGTATGCTCTCTGGACAGCGCCGTACCGGTACGCTTTGCCTGCTTCTGTCCAGTTTCACCTATTTTTGATTTTCAATCCATTTCTAACCTTTCCAAAGCCAACCTAAACTTACACAACATACATTTGTACATCAAACATAGTTGGTATAAGTTCGATTGCAAACAATTTCCTATATTTACAAGCTAAAACTAAGTTTTAACTACTATTCACTCGAGTTTTACCACGTTCACATTTCAAAAGAATTAATTACTTGTTGTAGATATATTTATATATAAAGATAAAAGTGTGGGGTTTACACGGCTGTCAGATTTTTCACCTACTCAGTCAAGGTAACACAATTCGCCTTAGTCTAAGCAAGTTTGGCCTTCGCAGCAGATACTTTTAACTTGACCTCAAACGTCCTTTTTTTGGCATCACTGAATAACACCTTACTTTTATCCACTTGACTCTATAACTCACGCCCTCCTACAAGAGTTAGGTAAGCTTTTGGGGTTAGGGAAAAAGGGTCTTATCCTGAGAGCTGACTTCCTCTTTCAGCTGCTCGCACTCCTTAGTGGCCTTATTGCTCGCTAAGCAATAGGCCCAAAGCCGATCGACGATGATGGACATTTGTTGCGTCGACTAAAAAAAAGTGAAGAGTTAGGAATGGACGAGAAAATTTTGAGAAGGATTAAGACACTCATCACCAACGAGTTTTGGATCACGCTCTGCAACGAGCTGTTGTCAGAGTAATCTTGGTGTTGCACCATGTCAGTGTCGAAGAGCAAGGTGCCGCAGATAGCATAAGAGACATCCAAGGAGCCAAGGGAGTCAGATGTCATCACCACCTTTCCTTTTGTGATGCCCCTACAATCAGGGGTCCCGTTGACCACCCGTCAACCCGCGAAAATACCTGTGATTGTCGCATAACTTGACATCACGTCTATCACATTCTTGTAACCGAGATTACAACTCAAACGAGGATTCGTGTTTTCTTTAATTTATTTAATCCCATCGAGGTTCAACATACCCCAATGTATCTCATTTAAGGTTCATTTGTGTCATTGGAACCAAAGAACACATAGCCCAAAACCATGGCAATGCATTCTTAAAATTTTAGATTTTTGAAAAACCTTTCGGAAGGTTATCATAGTCCTTCCAGAAGGTTTCCCCAACCTTGAGGAAGATTTTGCTTACTGGAATCCTTTCTTAAAAAAAAATTTGTTAACCTTCCGGAAGATGTATTAAACCTTCCAAAAGGTTTTACACACGGGATTCCCTCCTTTTAGAAAAATGTGAAGACCTTCCGAAAGGTTTCACCCACTATTCCAGTATTTCCTTGTCTTTGTCCAAACCTTCCAGAAGGTTTGTTTCAACCTTCCAGAAGGTTTTGCCCAAAATTGTCTGTTTCGCCTATTTTTCATTTCCAATCCATGCAAAACACTTCCAAACTCATTCCCAACATGTACAATATAATTTTCTACATTGTACATGATTCATACAAGTCTATTACAACTCATTCCATACAATTTATATGCCAAAATGGAATTTAAACTAAAAGTTTTACATAAACTTAGTTCAAGAGCCACAACCCGGCTCTTCTTCACCTTTGAGGCCCCGAATGTGTGTCATCCACCGAAATATGCCCCGTACCTGAAATGTTTCCCATATAGGCTGAGTCAACGCCCAGTAGAGTATTTCTTACAAGGGCTACCCCCCAACCTAAGTGCATATGCAATATTCACATGCAACATTTAGCAATAACAATCATTTCAACCAACACTTAAGCAAGTCAAGGTTGAAATCTAACATACCATGCCATGAATTGAAATGATGTCCATTCATGCAATTTACCCGAGCCCTTCTCGGCTCCACAACACATGCAATGTCAATGTGTATAAAACTGAGCTTTTCTAGCTCCGACTATTTACCTTCACCCCATTATATACAGTGAGTATCAAAATTGGGTTTTTCAAGCCCCCGCCGTTTATGCTACACACCCAATGGCTAACAAAAAATCTCCGAGTCTTTCTTGGGGTAGGTATTTATGGACTTACACCAACGGTCACCCAATCGACACGGAATTTATGGACTTCCACCAACGGTTTTGTGTACACCGATACACTTTATGGGCTTTAATACAAACGAAAGTGTGTATCCAAATACCAGGTCTCTCACCCGAGGGATAGTCTAGCCCTTCTTGCTACCTCGACCCAATTCTTTTTCATGCAACCGTGTGACTCAGTCGGATATTCAATCTGACTTCCCCAAACCCACCCATCATCCACCTACATGGTGTTTGATGCCAACCATGCACCCACACCCATAAAATGTGATGTCTACGTGTATATGCAATGTAATGCATCATTGCTATTTCAACATCATGCCCACATGTAATGAATGTCATATGAGCAAAATTAACTACATTCAAACAAGTTCTCAAGCAATTTATATCCGGAGCATAAAATTACCAAACTTTCTCATAATGCTATATACCAATGAACATACATTCACATTTCACTTTCAACAACAATTCACAAGCATGTTATTACATAACATATGCTAACAACATACTTAATTCTCAAGGCATACAATAAACACATAATATGCCCACACAACCCCCAAATTCCATGGATTACATTGAGTCTAATTCACAACCCATTTCAAGGCAAAATTTCATTTCACCCAATTTCAATACCCATTTCATCAATTCCCACAACATAGGTAATGATAAAATCAATTTATCAACATACCCATTACATACTACACCCTAGGTTGTAAATAAACTCGAGTAGGAAGGAACCCTACCTCTTGAAGCGTGAAGAACAACCATAGAAAGTCCCCAATAACCCGCTCCTAATTACAATCTTCTCCTCCCAAAATCCATTTTTCAACCTTCGGTGAAAATCCTCATTTTTGGTGTGGTTGTATAGCCCTTGACGAGGAGACCGATGTTTGTTCTTGCCCCGAGTGGATTTAAGCACCGTTGCCTTTTAGATCGTAGAGAGAATGTAGAGTTTTTCATCATTTTCCCTCTCTTTCTCTCAACGTTAATGGCCGGCCAAAGAAATGGGGGAAAATATTATTTTTCCCCCCATTTATACTCTTAGAATACTTGGTCCACAACGCGCCACACAACCCTTTTGTTTTCGGGTCCGCTTTCATCCTAAAATGATTACATTTTATCCCGTTTCAAGTTCAAATTAATTTTATTTTAATTTGCCTTTAATTATTTTCCAACTTTCAAAATTTTATTGAAAATCCCATTTTTGGGTCACCCGAGACTCGACTACCTTGTAAAACGCAAAAAATCCGACTATCTCGGAATTCGATGAAATTTGGCGTGATAACTACATTTCGTGAGACGAATCCAATGGTCAGGTCTGTTTTGTCATCCAAGATCTAGAAAAATTTA